GAAAACAGTCAGCATGGCGAAGAAAATATTGTCAAAGTTTGTGATCCCGCCGTTGGGGCCCTCCCACTTGCCCCTGCACTCACTGCCATTGCCGACACAAAAGCGCCCATTCCCAGCAAACGCACAGGGTGAAGGGTCATCCTCCACCATGAGACCTGGAGCAGAGGACAGCAGGGAAGAAAAACAGGCAGTGGGTCTACACATCCATGAAATATGGAGAGCGTAGAAATAACTATTTTAGTGCAGAGAGCAGATACCTGTGCTCATGAAGTAGCACGTCTTGTGCATCCTGCCGATGAAGAGCTCCAAGCCGATGATAGCGTAGATGATGATGACGAACATGACCAACATACCGATGTGGAGAAGGGGGACCATGGCTTTCATGATGGAGTTCAACACAATTTGTAAACCTGATGAGAACAAAAACATACTTTTCAGTGGTGCATGTGGGATGAAGCACAGATGCAAAAAACACACAAACAAACTACAAATGATAAAACGCACTTGGCACTCCCGATACGAGTCGAAGTGGTCGTAACACCCTGAACGCTCTGAGTGCTTTGACGTCCAGGCCTCCGGGTTTTCCTGCAGCATGATGGGCCTCTCCTGGCTTATGATCTGTCATGGCCTCTGCTATCACACTGAACAACCTGCACAGACACAGACTCTAGCTGTTTGCACTTTACTTTTTTTTTTTTTTTTTTTAATGACAGAACATTTGGAGATGGAAAATCATGACTACGTGAAGCACCAAAATACCCGACAATGACGATAACGAAATCAAGCAAGTTCCATCCGCTGCGTATGTAGGCGCTGGGGTGCATGACTAAGCCGTAGGCAAGAATTTTAGTGAAGGTCTCGATGGTGAAGATGACGAGGAAGACGTACTCGACTTGTTCCTAAGAAGAAAAGGTGGCGTAGGGATGGTTATGCAAAATTGGAATGACCTTTTTCTTTAAATGTTAGTGAGTGTGTCTGAAAGGAATGAATATGGAAGAGTGCTGAAGAAAATGTCAAGTGATTGTCACAGTAAAATAAAGACATTCAGAAGCTGTTGATTCCTATTCACTGCATATAGGCCTTCCAATAAGTGGCATTAATTGTCTTTTTAATGCTTATATCTTTACATCACATGTATCATCGTTAAGGGCCGATTGCAGTGGCTTTCTAACCTCTTAACCCAGTGCCTGACACATGCTTAAGCCTGTCACTGAATCCTTTTTCTGTAACTTCAGCTTAATGCTTCTAATCACTGTCACCACTGTCCCCAGGACTTCACCTGGGGCAGCCAACAATAATCCATGCATCGTGTGCTTTAGTGTAAGATGACTGATATTCACAAAAGAACTGTAATATTCACCAAACTTAGTCCAAGAATTGATGATATTAACTTTAGTAGGTCTCTGTAAGGAAGAGAATCTTAAAGTGTCAGCCTACGTCCTCTGTGAATCCAATAAAGGGATAAACATCTATCCTGCTGCAAGTCCCTCAGTGTGTGTGTGTGTGTGTGTGTGTGTGTGTGTGTGTGTGTCCCTGCCACTCTTAACTAAAATCACCTCCAATCAAACTCAAATATTTGATCACTTTTACTCTCTGCAAACTATCTAAGCATCACTTAGAACAATGCAATGACATTAACATCAGTGTGACTTGTAAATATACAAAGCTGTTGTTGAGAAAGAAAAAGACTCATTTTTGGTTTGAAATCTGCGTATTTTGGAATTAACAGAGAAGAATGATCAGAGACAGAGAAATAAAGAGAGAGACAGAGAGGTGGAGAAGTGAGATGAGGCAGATGGTTGGCGTTTAAGTAAGTCATGATCCCTGACAGGGTCACCTCGCGAAGGTCACAGCACAATTTTTTCCCCTCTAATACCATTACCACCCTAAAGAACACTATTTATTTCTCACTAATTGTTGCTACCTTCAGTATACCTACTGACTACTGTCCTTAAACCATTAAACCATTAAAACTTGTGTCATGTATCATTCACATGTCTATCAGTGTCTTTAAATGACCTAGAGAACCTGGGAAAGAGAGACAGCTCAGGAGAGTCAGAAATATTTCTAAAGAAAGTCAAACCTTGGAAAATAGAAATGTAGAAACATGCAAAATATAAAAGGAGCTGCTTCACTTCATAATCATAAACATTTTGTAGTTTCAATAAGATGTTATATTTCCAAGGACTGTGTGCTCCTTTAGTGGTCTGATTTAGAAAACTGGATGATCAAAGTTGCCAGCATCTATTTGAAGAGACTTCATGTGATATTCTCAGTCTGAGCCCCTCCAAGATCGCCAAAACATCAGTGACACAAATTCATAGATGAATGAATGGTTGGATGAAACATCTGCAGAACTTTTGTTTTTTCAGTTCTTTTTTTCATTTCTATATAAGAAGAATTCAGATTCACCCAGATTTTTTTCCATGTTTTTTGATGATTGTTGCTTATGTTACATTTAGTTGTGTACTTTTATGTAATAAGCACAGTATCCTTTAGAGGCTGGCCGTGTTCTCATTGGTTCACTGACAAAGATCCAGGATTATATAGATTGTGTTTTTACACATTCTTTAAATCACGAAGCCCCTGTGTCGAAACACGGTGAAATAAAGAAGATTCTTCCAGTAAGTCAGGTTTTTGACATTTTCCTCCATGTGTAATAATGTGGTGATTAAATCAGGTCATGTGATACCATATCATCACAACTTACAGTATGCTTGAACCTTACTTATCTTTTCTGACATTTCAAAATATGTAAAAGCCGTATACTGCATCTCTCCACTGGAAACTCACCAGTTGGTGATTGGTAGCGTTGGAGTCATCATCGGGGTACGGCTTGGTAACGCCCATGGCCACACAGTTGGCAAAAATGGCAAGTAGAATGAAAATATCAAAGGGCTTGAAGATTGAAGTTAAGGATACAAAAGGCCTCATGAAACGGAAACGCACACAACTGCATAATAAAACTTCAACTCATCTAAACAATCCAACATTAACTCATTCACTCATTACACATTTGCATCACAAACAGGACTGTTTGCATAAACGCACACAAACGTCCTAACACACTCAGGAAAAAGGATATTTCCACTCCACTAGGGCCAGTGCTGCCATGCGGATGGGGTTGCTGAGGGTGAGGCAGCAGAGGGCTCGGGGGGCCCTGAGGGCGGACTTGTTCGCCTGCATCGCCTTCTTGGCCCCCCCCCCTCTTTTTCTGGCCGAGCCAGTTGACCCGAGGGTGTCTGATTTGCCTGCATCGCCCCCAGGGGGGGCATCTGTTGTAAAACACACATATATTAATGATGTTAATGGGATCAAAAATATGGGTATTACATGACGACTGAGGTGTGAGTTGTTTCATTCTTACAGAGAAAATATATGATACATCAGAGGTAACTGACACAGATAAGTTATTTGCTGGGTCTGTCATATTGGTAGACACCTTTACTGTTATGTAATCAAAAACAAACAAACAAACAAACAAACAAACAAAACAAACTGTCTCAAACCATGTAATTATTCCATTGCTAATATCTGCACACATTTTATTATCCACCATTATTAGGAGAGGATTTGACAGGAGGCTGTGGCAGTAGACAGGTATTCTGTCCTGAAGGCCTCATATTATAAGACCAGATGTGACCTACTTCTTTATTGGGAGCAGTGTGGCACTTAGCCCAGCACTATCCCCAAGTAGGCACATGAACACCTGTTGACAAGGCCCTGCACTGAGAATAAGCCTGTGGCTACATGTATTATCTCACCCATTTAAAAACTACAGAGGAGCCATAAATATGGGCAGATAAGAGATTAAAGTGACTGTCCTATTATAAAAACATTGAATATGATGCCAGTTGTGCATTAATGTAAAAGTATATGCTTTAATTTCACTTGTATAAAACAAGCTTACCTATCAGAGCAGTTATGTTTAACCATTCTTGGCACCTACACTGAATATCTTTATCTACTGTTTCAATAAAATGGTTCATCCGTGGCTACTTTCAATTTTCTATGATTTCAGCATATGGCTTTACAGTGTAATGAGCCAATGAACATTCATGTAAATGTACAACGTGCATATTCTTGCAATGCTATTTGTGCAGGTAAAACTTCAGACATTGTGAGGAGTACCTACCTTTCTTTGCCGCGTCCATGTTCGCAGTTTAACACCACGAAATCACTTCAGAAATCCCACCATCCACTCCTCAGGGGATCTGCGATGCGTGACGGATCACAGATATAAATTTGACCCCCCTCAAAAGAAAGAGAACTTTCTCGGAGTTTTCAAAAAGATAGGACCATGTGCAGCCTGTCATTTCATATCCACAAGCAGCGCGTCGGTGCAGCTCAGAGGCACCGGGCCATCCTGCTCACCGCCTGCTTGTAGCCTAGAAATCCAATTAAAGCCGCTTTCTGGTAAGTTCTAACTGCGTGGAAATGAAAACTGCAAATGTTTTTTTTTTTTTTTGGTTTTGTTTATCTATGCAGGTACATAACGACGAGGAATATTAAAACAAACGCGTCCCCATATCCTCGGTGGTCAGCCGTCAGGATTAAACGAGCTGAGCCGTTTAAAAGGATGACAGTGGAAATCTTTCAAGGGGAAGGTGGAGATAAACTCAGGCGAAACTCTCTGGCCCTCTGGGATTTTGTTGCGGAGTTCAAGTTAATAAGAAGAGAGGAATATTAAGAAGTTACTGTCAGGATGGAAAGATGGGATGGTTCACTACAGCAAGTTGCAGATACGCATTTCAGAACCTTGGAGAGAACCAGCCCGATGCGGTACCGAGAGAGGCGGCTAGGGGGCGCGCGTCCACAGTAAATAGCAAGACACTGATGGCGCTCAGGCATATGTAATGTTTATAATATCACCTGTTATTCACCTACAATATCATGAGAAAAAAACACCAATCAATTCAAGAACATTTGATGTCTTTATTGTTTTTTTTCTTTATCAACTATCAATATATTATGACAATAAATAAAATAAACATTCTCTCTATACATAGTTTGACAGCAAAACACTGGATCATGCTGCACTGTCTCTCTGCTGTTTCAACAGAACAGAGAGACAGAGTTTAAAAAGTGCTTGGTTGCTTGAGGGATAATGGAGAAATCAAAGTGAGGAGGGTGCTTGATAACCAGCTAAGTGAACTGTCTAAGTATACTGATACAAGCTATAATTTCCAGGAGCTCATCCGTGTCTTTTCAGTATTACAGACATGACTTGAGCTAATCCATTCTAGTGTGTAAGATGATAATTGTTCAACAAAGATTCAAAGTTACAAAAGCTGCCAGGGGAGGATAAAACTGCAAACAAAGAAGGAATGAGGTTTTCTTAAGCACACGCATTATCTAAAAACATGAAAAGGTCTTTTGAGTGATTGTCTCAGCTGACATATAATTCATACTTAGAAACAGACTCGCACCATACCATCCTCCATGGTAAAACCTCACTGAACAAATGTGATCTTGTAAAGTCTCATCTTCTTTACTACTCACACACAACTACTTTTATACTTTTCAGCCATTTAAACAATGGCTTTAATATTTATTTATAAGTCTATGCATACAATTATAAAATATTTGGATGCTTAATTATTAAATGTTCCTAAGATGTTGTACAATCACATTTGTTTTATATATAAATTTTAGAATTGCATATTTAACCCAAAAAGGTCACAGCAATGAAACAATGACCCCTGATACAGATAGTGTTGAATGAGATGCTGAAGGTGCAAACATGAGGTTTATCAAATTGACTCATAAATAACTAAAACTCACAGTAATTTGCCCCTGAGGTTTATAAGCACATAGTGCAACTACTTGACACCACCGCAGGGACCAGTGTCTCCCATTCATCCTGATACCTGCTATAGTATCCTGTTCTCTGGTCTGACTCACTCTGTCCACAGCTGGTGTCAGTCCTTACTGCTCTCTACTGAAACTGCCCCTTTGCACCCTGCTGCTGACCTCCATCCTTTGGAGGTAACTGACTGGGGTCGTCCGCAAAGGGAATAGCTGGAGGAGAAAGAGGAAGAGGAAAACACAAAAAAGGTTTGGTTGTCAGGCTTCTGTGGCAGCATAGTCTTCCATAGCAACAAAAATGTATGTGTCTCTACACCTACACAATTATACTCTATAGAGGCAAGGTAAGGCAAATGTATTATTATAGCACATTATCATACACAGAGGTCATTCAATGTGCTAAACAGAAATAAAAGAAGCATAAAAATAGAAGTAAAAAGCACAATAAGAAAACAGTATAAAAACAAAATAAAAACACAGATTAGAAAACAGGTAATATCTCATCAAAGTGCAAGATTAATATTTAGATGAAGGCAGAAGAAAATAGAGCAGTTTTTAGCTTCTTTTTAAAGCCAGTTACAGTTTGGGAAGATTTGATCAGATCTCCAGAGGGAGCTGGTCCAGCAGTGGGCAGCATAATGGCTGAAAGCCAATTCATCCTGTTTAGTTTTAACTCTAGGCACCACTAACTGACCAGCTCCTGCAGAACTTAGAGACCTATTTGGCTCATATATATGGAACATTTCTGAAATATATTTAGGGCCCAGGTCATTTAGTGGCTTGTAGTCAATTTCCCCTGTTGAATTCATCTGCTTGGTGTTCTAACCTTCCTTCAGCCTATCACATCCACTTCTCCAGTTACTGATTTCCATGATTTCACAGAGAAAAGGTTTCATCTTTTTTCACTCATTACGTATAGGTTCGAGATGCACCCAATTGTGATTTTGAAAGCAAATTTACAATTAGATCTAATGATGGTCTGAAACAGTTGAACTACCTTCAGTAAAGGAATCTCCTTCTATTCTGTGATGGATTTCATGCTGCTGTTAAACTGATGTAATAGATTGTTCAGAAATCTTCTGTAATTACAAACCATCATAGCGCTAGAACCACCTGAATGTGACGCCACATTTTCTATGGGGTGACTAAATGATTTTATTATTTTTGCTAAACTCAATCAGCTTCACTCACGATTCTGAAACTGCTGCGCTGTGTATCTGGTTAGGAGGATCCCAAAACCCTCAATGAGAGCGAGCAAAATCCCCCCCATCATGGCGGAGCCCATCATAGCTAAAGGTCCACCTGGAGAAAACACAAAACTCATTCATTCAATCAATCTGATGCACATGATGACACAGAAAGGTGGTGTCAAGCTCATTGGTAAGATCAGTACTACATGGACTTGTTCTTACTGCGTGCTGCCAGGATAGCTCCAGTCAGCGCACCACTTGTAATGGAGTTCCAGGGATCTTCTTTCCCTCTGACCCGAACTAGACCACAGTCGATTGTGGAGAAGAGGCCTCCCCATACAGCAAAGCTACCTGTAAAACCACGAAAACAAACCTGTGAGGGTGGCATAGTTCGGTTGAATATGTGCTTTCATTCTCAGACAATGAAATTATGACCCTCAACAATTCTGAGAGAGGCCTTTGAGCACCCAAATATAATTAAATAAATAAACATTTTTTTTAGATAAATGACTTGATCGTGTTGTAGTATGTACCATAATCATATACAGTTCAGAAAGTATTTAGACCCGTTCACTTTTTGCACACTTTATTGTGTTGTAGATTTAATTGTAAATGGATAAAATTTACATTTTTGGCCCATAAATCTACACTCAATAATTCATAATGAAAAAGAGAAAACATGTCTGGGCTTTTGCTGGGCCACTCTTTGTCCTGAAACCACTCCAGTGGTGTCTTGGTTGTTTGCTTCAGGTCATTGTTGTTCTAAAAGATGAACCTTTGCTCAACTCACATGCACTCTGGAGCAGATTTTTTTTTCGAGAACCTCTCTTTATTTGGCTTCATTCGGCTTCATTCATCCTTCCCTCCATTTTGATCAGTCTCTCTATCCCTGCCACTGAGGAGCCCCCTCATATTCCCCTAAAATGTACAAAAAGTGAAGGGGTCTGAATACACTGAAGCCACTGAATAAAACCAAAAGGCACCTCCTCACCTCCAATCTGTGGAGCTCTTATTCTCACTGCATTTGCACTACCTCTCAGGCGGTGTCCCACACCCTGAAACATTAGAGCATTGTTCAGTTCTGAGTTTGAAAACCTGATGTCTGAGTCTGAGAGCAAACAATTATCTTTTGAACTCACCGCAGGGGCATTACGAAAGCCCTTGATCGCCTGGAACACCCCTCCTCCAATTGCACCCATAGTGAAAGCTCCTCCACAGTCATCCACTATCCTCCAGGGACTACAAGAAGGCATTCAGAGGAGGGAGGAAGTACATGTAAAGATGGGATAAATCATTTGACGTCAAAAGTATGAACACCTAGGCGTTGTTGTGTGATGTGCATGTTCAGCAGCACACCAAAAAGCAGTTCCAACATAGATTATTTTGGAGAGAAAACCGGTATCACAACAGAGTTCAAATTGTGCTATTGCAATGATTTTGGATTGTGATACAAACACCCAATTTGCTAATTGACAGCAAATTAGTGACATTATTTTTGTTTGTGCCATCCCATCCAATTGATTTATATTGTTGCTGTACTATGATGCTGAAACAATCAACAGAATAATAACCAACAACGTATTTAATAACTTCAGTCATTTATCCAGCAAAAATATCAGACATCCCCTTCTGAAACTAAGCATGTGCTGCTAATCCCTATTTTATATTATTGTTCATTCAGTCTCTTTGAGGTACAATGTTTAATGGACAAAACAGTCAATATGAAAATATAACCATTTTTTTCTTTTTCGGTTTACCATAACTTGAATTTAAAAAAAAAAAAACCCACTGACATATTTATGCAAGATGCTGCTGTGGCTTACACTAGTTGCTGTGGGAACATACTGACCACAGCTTTATCTCTTTATATCCCTAACCCTTTACTAAGCTAGCCGGCTAACTCAAACTCACAGAGCCTCTTTTCTCTAACAGTAACTTAAATAAAACATTAAAAAGACAAATCCATGTCCGAGCTTGGCAAACGTTTGTCAAGTAGAGAAAGAAAAAGGTTTTAAAAACTAATCTCACCAAGGTTCACGGGCATACTCCTCCATGTTTGTTGTCGTCAAGACAAACGGTGTTGCGTCATCATTGTGCGCGCCGTGTGCTGTTTTGGGAAGTCGTATCGTCCATTCTTTGGATTTTCCTAAACCAGGTAAAGATGAAATAGGTTTAATTCATTAGTTTTTATAGAAAGGTGTAGGTTTATGGTTTGTGTAGTTTATGTGTTATCTCCTAAACGCATATGTGTGTTTGCTGGTTTAATTTTTCAGCTGTTGACACGGAGCTACCGAGCAGACGTAGAATAATTTTGTTAAAATAAATGTTGTATGAACTCAGACTGCACATTATCTCCCTTTTTATGAAGCTAACCTCGTTCATACCCGAAAAGGTAAAAGTAGCTCTATACAAGCTAAAATCAAACGTTTCACCAGGAGCCTCAAAAGTAATAAAGCAGCATGCAGGGGGGAGGATGACCTACACGACGCCTGTTTCCGATTCGGCAGTTTTAAGGGGAAAGTTACTTCTTTCAAATTTAGATCACATCAGACCAGATCCAGATTCCAAAAACCACTACACGAAGACTTCTCAAATCTGGACTAGATTATCACAGAGACGCTAAAGTCTCTATAAATTACATTTATTCTATTTGTGAAAATGCAAAAAAAGGCGTTAGTACCATAGTAAAATCAGTTTGAAGTTTGATATTATACAGAAATTCAGATGAAAAGACCTATGGACAACCGGTTCATACTCTCTTCTAAAATGTGTGGCTGTACGATCACTTTCAGGAGAGCCACAGCGGTGTTGCTGTAGGATCATAGTCTTATTGTTGCATGTGTTTAGCCCTGTTGCACTTTAACTGACTTTACCTGTACTTTACATTGTTGCACGAAGGTTGTAAAATTTGGGGTTTAGTATTTCAAGCTATCCATAACACTAGATCTGTAACCTACATTCATTGTTTGATTTTATATATCATTTATTGTATTTGTTAATTTTTGCATGGACAATGTACATCGATCAGCATCACTTTAAATGTGCCAGTGTCAGCAAAAAGCCTGATGTTAAATAAGCCATTAAAGCAACTATAAAGCACAAAACATGTAAGATTAGAAAAGTAGAAAGCCAGTGAAAAAATGAAGCAACAGAACAGGATAAAAAGCTTAGAAGAGTGAGGCAAGCACCAAGCAAAGTAGGACATGTAAAATACTGGCAACTAATACAAAACAACCATTTTTCCACAACCACTTGCTAAAGATGTAAGATATTTTAATTTACTGTAATGTATGACAAAAAAAAAGACACCAGATTGTCACATTCAAGAAAGTGGTGCCAAAGAATGTTTCAATTTTCGTTTGACTGAAGTGATTAATAGATTATCACAATGGTTGCTGATACTTTTTCTGTTGATTGATAAATCGGTCAGTCAACTAATTGTTTCAGCTTCAAACCAAAGACTATAGTTTGGATTTAGTTTTTTCAAATCACTGTAGTGGTAAATGTTTGAAATTTTAAAGAAACTACCAGCTGTAAATTCAGGATATGTGCATATCAAAAATTAATGTTGGCATCAGTCCATTATTATTTTCACTTTCACTGTTTGGGTGATTGAGCACCACCTGCTCTAGTCAGTAGATAAAGGCTTCCCATCCTGTGCATCATGACTTAATCCTCCCTCCTCTGTGTTTCAGGATGCCTCTACCTCCGGCACTGCTGGCCCGCTTGGCCAAGAGAGGGATTGTTAAACCTACAGATCAAGGTAGTAGGAAGCATGCTTTGTGAACACACTGTGTCGACAGAATTTAGACATTTTTTCCTTATGCTTCATACTTTCCCGTGTCATGTAATAACATTTCTCCTTCAATTCATCCAGAGGCAGATGAGGAGATTATTGCTGAAGATTATGATGACAACAACGTAGATTATGAAGCCACCAGAATAGAGAATCTACCACCAAACTGGTACAAAGTTTTCGACCCTGCTTGGTATGTATACTTGATTTGTACAATATGTTGTTACTTGTGACTGATATATTTACATACCTAACATTTTGACTTTGTAACTTTGGTAACAGAGATTGAAGACCTATAAAATCGTATCTGTTTTCGCTCAGGTGTCTTTATTATGGGGTTAAACTGAGATTCAAACACAGCAGATTTTTTTTTATAACAAATTACACAGGAACATCAACCTCATTCTGCCACTCACCTATCTGAGTTTATTTAAAAATATGTGACTGTTTTTCTGGCCAGTTAGGCTACATTATTATGAGATAAGCATGGCCTTGAAAATATGGTTTCTCAGTAATTTGTAGCCTGAATTATTATTAAGGGACTTTGTGATGAAAAGTGGTTGAAATGACTTGGTTAAATAAAGACAGACTTTGACAAGGGACATTTTGCAATAACACCTGCTGGAATCAAATAAAAATAAACTCACTTTCACTGTTATTGTGAAAAGAAAGGGAGTTTCAAAAATATGTTGAATAATTGAATGGTTATTCATGATTATTTTTGGCATAATGTATTATTTATTTCATATTTAACACTTTGTCTCCATACATGTAAATTTAGCCGCTCCGCTGCTTTATGTCATCGTTTAGTACTGTGTTGTTGGAAATAAGCCAATTCTCTCTTACTGTAGTTTGATCTTCAGTGATGTATTACTATTACACTAACCAACGAGCTGTATTTCAGTCATCAAATAAATTCAATCAATCACTTTCCTCATGACGTTACTCATTAATATGTATCACATCACATTATTTACATTATGGCTGCAAATTCATCCATTTTGTTTCATTCTCCCTTCAAACCACAGTGGTCTTCCTTATTACTGGAACGTGGAGACAGATTTGGTGGCCTGGCTGTCCCCAAATGACCCGTCTGCAGTGGTCACAAAAGCTGCCAAGAAACTAAGAGGTATGATATTATAAAAACCTCTTTACTCTCTAACTTGTAGTGTGAAGTTGTGATGCTTTAAGCAGAGGGGTATGGTGTGTTGCTTGCCAAGATGAGGTAGCTAAGGGCGACTTCTTGGCTGTTGCTTGGTGGTTTGAGCAACATGCTGCGTAGCTTGACACAGATTTAACTGGTTATAATCTGGTAATATTGGAGTGAATTTATCCTATTACAAGTGTGTGTGTGTGTGCGTGTGCGTGCATGTGCAGGTAAAGAGGGGGTTGGTTCTGGGACACTGGAACACACTGTTGAGCCTTTTCTGTGCGATGGGCCTGAGTGTGCAGGACTTGCCTGCACACTCACACACAAATACGTTTTTGACACCATCTTACTTTATTTGGTAAAATAGGTGAAGGGCCATAATTCATTCAGAGGGGAGCAAATAATATGCGAACATAGGGCTGTGTGTAAGCCACAGAGTATTTACACTTTCCTTGGGTGAGGGTGGGAGTTAAAAGCAGCTTAAAAGTATGTTAGGTCAGTTTAAAGGTACTGTAGTTGAGGGCCAGAGAATTGTGTCGCCTGTCATGGGACCTAGCAGATTTATGACGGCACAGGCTGACACCCACTGCTCGGCCCAGTGATGGGTCAAAACATCATTTAACATGAATGCTGGGCTTTCATAGGAATGTTCACCCAACTGTTTAACTCTGTAGTGTTAATTATAAATTAATATTTTGATGAGGCAATGATCATCCTCATTCCTGACCTGTCACCATGGATATCTGTTACACTTCTCAAAAATCATTGCTGGTTTGATCATCATTTGGCAAGTAATCTCAGAATGCAGGTTTTTTTTTTTGGCCAAACTCAGGTAATGGTTTATTATGTGACTATTTTTTAGCTGATGGAGGAGATGAACGAGTTGAGAGGCAGTTTGAGAAGCCAGACAGGGAGCGAGAGCGCGACAGAGACAGAGATCGGGAAAGGGACCGGGACAGAGACCGAGAGAGGGATGACGGGAGGGACAGAGACAGAAGAAAGCAGAGGAGGGAAGACATGGCACCATACGGCAAGAGCAAAAGAGGTAATGTTTACGTCTGTTACATACTATACAAGCATTTTCAAACTGATGATGCTATTTATATGACTGGGTGTTTATTTTCCTTTTCAGGTAGAAAAGATGATGAGATGGACCCAATGGATCCAAGTGCTTATTCTGATGCCCCAAGGTACAGTATCTCCAACAGTTTAGTACTGCACTTCCATAAGTACCGTACCAGTGCTGGTGCTAGTATGTCACTAGTCTCTGTCACTAGTCTGTATTAAGATCAAACACACTGTAATCTGTCATATAATGTAAATAAACTATATAGAAAGCTTCATCCAGAGGCATCTATACACAAGATTTATAAACAGGAGGAATGATGACACCTCAGGTAGACAGATGCATTATAAGAATCAACAAGCATGGTTACCATACATACTTTGCACATCTTGTACTATTCATATGGGTTAAGCTTGAAAAACATTGCCATTGCCAACATTTCCCATAATGCTTCTTAATCTTTTCATTTGACCCTCCCTTCCTGATAAATGCCCTTGTCTTTCAAACTCCACACCTTCCAAGATCAAACCGAAATAACCCTAATTACATCATTGTGACATCATCAGGGTTTATTTCATAGACTTGACAAAGCAGTCGTACTAATCATGCCCAGTAAGATGATTTTGATTGTTTAAAATTGATGGATTCCCCTTTAAGGTGCAACCATAATGTACTGAGTCAGACACTTACTGAAAGCAAACATTCATCTTTACAGGGGTACGTGGTCAAGTGGCCTTCCCAAGCGTAATGAAGCAAAGACGGGTGCAGATACCACAGCGGCGGGGCCTCTCTTCCAGCAGCGGCCATACCCCAGTCCAGGAGCCGTGCTTCGGGCTAACGCAGCAAACCAAATACCCAAGGAGTAAGCTGTGCTCCCAGGAAGAGAACAAACAACAAAGAAGCAGCTTGTTTTCCCTTTGCTCACATCTTTACATTTGCCGTAACAGACTGACATCGTTGACAAGTTTTCTTTTCATTGTGAAATTTGTGACCGTGTCAGAGAGTGGAGTGCTCAGCTTTTGTACCACCAGTGCATTCATACTTGTGAAATGTGTAGAACAGTTGTAAATATGTTTTTATATGACCTAAAGATTGACCCTCTTATTGTTATTAGGGCAATTGGTGGGCATCATTTGCTAATAAATTTAAAGATTACTGTGAAAATGACTCATTGCAACTTTCCTTGACAATGTTTTATTACAAAATTGCAACGTGTTAAAATGTTAAATCCATTATTTTCTGAATATTACAAAAACCAACATTCAGGGACAGATGGCATGAAAAATGATGGAAATATCTGAATAAAAATCAAAAATATGTAGATCAGTGGTCCGCTGATCCTACATAGTGACAAATAGAGTCATAGTCCAGTGTGAACACTTTCTCCTCGTATCGGTCGAGCTGAACCATTGCTCTGCACTTGTTCTTGTCCCGTTGGAGAATACGGCCAACCTGAACAGACAAATGTAAATGCAGTTATTAGTAACAGGTCATCACATTCAAACAAGTACACATGTGCTGCAGGGAAGATGATCCTTTACTCACCTGACCCCTGTGTTCACCCAGTACAACCATTATAGAGTCATATTCACTTTTTGGGACAATGGTTTCCAGCATGTCCTGCGTCACATCTGTCACCACAAGAAGAAACAGTGGGTTATTTACCTAAGACTTTTTACAGTAACAGTTAATATAGTGTCAGTCAGAGGTGATTACCTGTTCATCTTAATTCAGCAGATATGATATTTCTACAGTCTTAGCCAATAAGACACATAATAATTTCAGATAAGAAATCCCACAAAATCCACAGTATCAAGGAATAGTACATAAACCCAATCAATGATCAATGTATACATAAAATATTTGCCAACAAGGAACATCAGTATGGTGTATATTAGAAGATGCATTATCAGAATGTCAGGGGTTTGACATTTCAGGAAATACTTGCTTTCTTGCTCAGACTTAGATGAGATGATTGATGCCACTCAAAGCTACACAGGAGACCGTTCCCTCAGCGTAAAACTGGCAGCAAAGGGAAAACGCTAGCCTGGCTTTGTTCAGAGGTAAAAAAAAAAAAAAAAAAATCCCTAAGGCTCACCAGGTTTCATGTTATATTTTATTAAATCTGTACAAGAACTGAAGTGAAATAAAAAATGAGTTGTTCTAGTTTTGTGGATTTTTAAAAAAAAACAAAAAACTTTTGGACAGAGCCAGGTATGTTGTTTCCTCCACTGCCAGTCTTTATGCTAAGCTAGCTGTAGCTCTATAGTTAACAGTCAGACAGGGGAGTGGTATTGCTCTTCTCACTGTCTATTCCTTTAAATTCCTGTCTGTACTGGATATGAAAACCACATTATCTGTCTATTCCTTACATTAACACTACAAATGCTTTTTTTGTTTTATAGTATTTGTCATCTAAATATCCTCCGCTTTAACCAGAGGCATGACGAACAACATCTATGAGCAGTAGGAACTGCCTGGCTCCATGTTTTTCACCATAATACCTGAGCTACTCAGATGTATTATAAAAATGAACAGAAATAGTTACAACACATACTTTGCACACCACATTTCTTGTGCAACTTTAATTAGGGAATAAAGCTACTGCAGAGAGACAGAGACCAACACCAAGAGAGACGGGGATTGCACTAATGACTCACCGTCTAGCAGTCTTCCCTCTTCAGTTCGACACACACAGGTAGTTGGTGTCAAGACATCCTCCACACACATCTAGAAGAAAACCAGACTGACTTAAGAGCTGACAGGAAGCCAACATTTATGATAAATACTGTGCAGCCAAAGATATAGAACATATGGCGATCATGCCATATCTATTAGTACCTTTGAGTTGTAGTACCTGCCCCCTTTGAAAGCTTTGTCTATAAAGCGAACTTTTAAGTCTCTCTGGAGCCAGGAGGGGGGAGCTGGTGGCCGCCTCGCTTCTTTCACTGGAGGCTTCTCTCTAGAGAGGAAACCAATATACAGTATGTTTACTCAAAGGGAACATTGAAAAGATATTGACCAATGAATTGAAATGAGTAAATGCAGTGTGGAAAAATGTATAAAACATTAAAATTTTAAATACTGGTTGATAAGAACCAAAATGAAAAGCATATTGTTGGATCTTCATCTTTTAGTGGATACATACCTGTCTTGACTTGATTCTCTGTGTTTCCTCTTCCGCTCATCTTTTCCTCCATCTCTATCTGAAGACTTGTGTTTCACCTCGTCACCATTACCTTGCCTCTCTTTCTCCTCCCGTCTCCGGCGCTCCTTCTCTCGCTCTTTTTCCTTCTCTTTCTCCTTTTCCTTTTCCTTGTCTTTGTGAGCTTTACTGAGGCGACCTGGTCAGTGAATAAACAGTGTTACTAGCATGGCATTGAGTAAAATGTGGCACACACAGAAACACGGGTACTGCAGTGTTGTGTGTGTGCGATTCTTAGTTGGGTTTTTATACTTGGAGTAGAGCTGAATCAATGTTTTGTGCTTTTGTCCCCCATGTGAAAGCTGAAACGTCATTAGACTAGCAGAAAACCTGTTTAGCCCAGTTACTCATGTCATTATAGATTAACCTGTCAGTTATTTTCTTAATTAGAGTTTGGTCTATAAATAGTGAAAATTTTCCCACACAATTTCCCAAATCCTTGGTTGACATATTGAAGTTATTCATTTTGTTTCAAGAGTCCCAAACTGAAAAATATCCACTTTAACAACATAGAAGTAGCAACGTGTGAATTCCGTGGAATTTTTGCTTAGAAAATGAGTTAAACAATTAATAGATTATCATAATTATTGATTAATTTTCAGTCAATCAGCTAAGCAATCTAGCTTTACACAAAACAGTAGGCTGTTCCAAACTTGTTCCTTCAACTGGAAACTTCCATCATCCTAATGTGATGATTACTTAAAGTAACAAATAGTAACAAACAACTTAAAATTTGTTACTGGTCATTTCTGTTTAATTAGACTATCATATTGCTATTGTTACATATAACTAGTTAATTCAAAAACAAAAAAAAAACAAAACAAAAAAACACACATGGGGCGTCGTGTAGCGTAGTGGTTTAAGCAGGCGCCCCATGTGTAGAGGCTACAGTCCTCGCTGCAGTCGGCCCCGGTTCGAATCCCGCATCGGACGGCCTTTCACTGCATGTCATTCCCCCTCTCTTCTGCCTCCCCGTTTCCTGTCACTCTCCACTGTGCTGTCCATTAAAGGCATAAAAGCCCAAAAAATATACTTTAAAAAAAAAAAAAAAAACACACATGATAAAAAGTTACAATGTAAAGAGGTCAAACTGAATTTTGATGACATCAAATGTGACCAGAATGGACTGGAAATATTATCTAATTTAGCACCCAGGGACACAAAATCATTGTGCATTAGCCTCCAGATCTTTTTCTAGAAATGTTGCCCTTTTCTGTTTCATTTCTTCAGATTTACTCACTGAGGTCTTTGCTGTATTTGTCGTATTCCTTGCACCCAACCAGTTTAATAGCGTACTGGCTGATTGTCACAGTCTTGCCGCCAATAGCCAGCTTCACCATAACTCGAGCGTTGTCTGGATCAACGCCTTCGATCTGCAGCACATGAACGAAACTCATGAGAGAAGTCAGAGAAAACATAATCTAGAACTGGTACTGTGTATAGAGTGTGTAAACAGACATTGCAAATCTACTATACCTTGCCATACAGGTCTTTATGTGCCCCTGACTCCACCAGCACACAGCCCCCAGGACCCATCACTAGTTCCTCCTCCTTCTCTCGCTCCTCGCCTGGCTTAGGGGGACGCTTATGTCTGGTCGGTTCCAGGTCCTTTATCGCTGAGCGATCTGCTCCTAGACCCAAGCCTTTTGGACGAAGCTGGTGTTCGATTGGCTTCACATCTCTGTAGCAGACAGGGAACATCAGCATTCAATAAACAGAGGGAAGGACATGCAGGATGTAAAATAGGCTACAGGTGGATACAGGTTGAGCTGTGTGGGTGAAGTTAATATAGTAAAAATGAGTACAAATGTGTAAGATAAAAAGAGAAACAAGAGAGTATTGCTGCTTTTACACAATTGTGGTTGATGCTCATCCAATGATTTTAGAGTTCATGGTGACATCTTCAAAAATCTTGCATGGTTTGACAAACAATTCAAAACTCAGATATATTCACTTCACAATAATAGAAATCACTGAAAACCCACCAAAGCTCACATTTGAGAAGCTGAACGTCAGGTTTTTTTTTTGGCACATTTGCTTGATTAAAAGACTCAGGGAACTGATTTATTAACAAAATTGTTGCAAATTAATTTTTTCAGTAGACTTATTGATTGTTTCAGCTCAAATCTGAACACCACAGTGGTGCAAGGTCAGCGTAATGTTAAATTAGGAGAGGAAATGGTAAAGCAAGGGGTTATTTTTTTTACTTACTGTTTAAAGGTGCGTCCAATGCCTTCCCCTTTCTTCCACCCCATCCCCTTCAGCATAGCGAGTCCATAAGCCTCAACAGGAACGGTATCATAATCGGCCTCTGTTGACTGACAACACAAACAGTGATATTATATATTTGGAAATCCAGAGACATACATTAAATGCTCAAGCAACCAAAGAAAAACAAAAACCAGTCTGCATTAAAATGTGTGCTTGAAAGGAGGCACTTATGTAATCTTTTGAGTTGTGAAACACAAAAAAATTGTTTGTGGCAACGGACAGAGAGAAGCAGTTTGTCATGTCGGTCTTACTCAGCCTTTTGGCTTCAGGCTGTCAGACTCAGCCCAGGCTGACTTAAGTCACCAGGCAGCAGCCCTCATCAGAGCAGTGGCCCTGCTCATCTCTCTCCACTGAAGGCTTCCCTCTGAGGGCAGCTGGGAGTCCACTCTCACAGGCTGGACTGCATTAAAATGAGCTGTGGGCCACAGTGAGCAAGTTTCCCCTGACTCTCATGTTCTGACAGTCACATCTGCAGTGATTGAGAGCAGATATGGGATGACAGTGACGAGGTGTGCAAGGCCTCTGATGAAAAGTAGCAGAAAGAGATCTGATTGGTTGCCTGCATGTCTCTGGGGAGAATGTTTGACGCCCGTCTGCCACCAAAGTCTTACTGTACTGACAGTGTCCCCCATACACACATGCGCATAACTGAGTATGCACACGGGGTGTTATTCTACTCAGATGACAGTCAGCACTTTCACACACTCAAATTTCAATCTGACTCAAAGTAGCCAGTCTACCAGACATTTTGTACTGTCAGGCATTTTCATATGCTCAGTGAAATGCCTCTCTAGCAGATTATATTGTGATCCTCACATTTGATATCATTTCCACATATTTGATAAAGCATTTGATAAAGCAATCCCTCTCCAAACAAATATTACATAAATGCATTTGAGCAAATTAACCACGAACAGTAGAAAGCTTACTAAATAAAAGCAATAAGCAACTCCCTGGTGTCAAAGTAGGTGTATTTACGTGAATGTTTATGATAGCAAGCTGGAGAACAACTTGCTATCACCTACCATTATCTGGATACTGGGATGAGTTTATTTTTTTTTAATATAGTACAGTAGAATAAAAATTCTACCACAGACCCTACGACTAGGAAAACGTTTGTTCGTGTTATGATCATCGATAGGACACTTTATTCAATTACTCTAACTGATCTAACTCATCAACTTGACCTTGCTGTTCGTTACATTAGTTATTTCTGTGACATCCTCTAATATCAGAATTCCAACAGACAGCTAATCACCTTATTTCCTTCACCTCTTCAAACCTCTCTCATGTTTGGCTGAACTTTCTATGACTTGACTGCAATCTAGTTCGCCTAACACTAATAAAATATATAGTTAAAACTGATGGATTAAAATTAGTGGAACTTCAGTGAAAAGATCCTGATGTAATGTCATGGGAATGACAAAAACAGACAAGACAGAAAAGTGGCCAAACACTGCAAAATATGTTTCCAACACTTGTGTTTAAACAGTGCGCTGGAAAGATTTTTTAATGCAATTGTTTCATCAAAACTTCATCCAAAACATCAAATCAATAATGTTCTCTTCAAACCTAACCACTGAATAAACTCACATTCTCAGCTGCAGATTAGAGAGAATATCTGTCCCTGTGCTGGTTGTCATACTTACAGATTCAGGCCGTAGATCCACCTTTACATGGTCTCCATCCTCAAAGCCCTCTGGCACTTTGTTTTGCATCAACAAGGGGATGGTAAGGTTCAAGGTACTTTTTGACTGGGGGCCATTCTGCCACTGATCAAGCTGCCTCCGTGATTCTACAAACATAAGTTAGAGAAGTATAAGGACCGTTGTTATGAGAGTTACTTATAACCTCTGCCTTCCCACCAAGCATGCAATACACAGTTACACACACTAAACAATGCTATCCATGTACAATTGTATGCCATGGTATTATATTCATAATACTTTTGTAGCAAGCTAAGAGTCTTTTATTCTGAAGAGTTTTCAGCCACTCGGCAGATGACTTCAAGCCGAGATACTTTTAGGATGTCTTGCTCACACAGTGTTTAAGATCTATCCAGAGCTTTTCAGTGATGTTCAACTCAGAAGGCTGTGAAGGCCTTTCCATAAGCTTCAGCTTGTGTCTCTTGAACTAATTCATGGTGGATTTTGAGGTCTTCTTTAGATCATTGTCCTGTTATAGAAGCCAGCCTCTCTCCATTATAACTTTCTTGACTGACTGCAGGACATTTCCTGATATATAGTGAAATCCATTCTTCCTTCGATATGTGCAAAGTCTCCTGTGCCACTGGCTGCCACACAACCCCAAAGCAGAATATTTCCTCCAATAACTATTTAAAGAAGACAGGCAACTTTTTAAATATCTGTTTGTTGTGGTTGCATTTTCTTCTTTACACTTCAAAATACAAATCAACAACATATGTAATGTACCCAAGAATAACCAAACATCTGCACACCTTCGATGAGTTCTTTGACAGCTTGAGAATCCACAGAGTCTTTATCTTGGGTTGTTTCCTGTGTTTTGCCGCTACTCTCCTCGCTCTGGCCCGCTCGGTCCTGTCTGTGCCAGCGGTTCTTCTGGATCAGAGGGATGATGAGCTCTTTGGGCTTCTCAGATGGTTTTGAACTGCACGACAGACAGAAGTTAGCGAGCTAGCAGCCAGGGCCGCTTCAACACAAGATTTACTAGCTGAGGCCCAGTAACGTATACACATACTTCACGCCTGCTAACAAAGCATAATATTTCAAGTACTAGTTAGCTATATCAGCGTGGAAACGTAGGAGTTACGTTAAAGCTAATGTTTAAATTAGCTATATTAGTTAGCATTAGCGTACCAACCCTACCTCTGCAATTCATTTCTATCAATTCCAGTCAAGTAATCTCTGTCTTCTTTCTTGGTCACAGCGTCACCACCAGGAGGTTTAAATTTGCTAACTGTTTTAGTAAAACCAAACGACACCGCGGTTGTTTTTCTCTCCCTTTGCTCCTCAGACTTTGATGCTCCCGTGTCTTCTCCGTGCGATGCCATCATTGTTTGTAACCGAAAGAAGTAGCAGAAAGTGCTTCTGGTAGTTGTAGTTTTATTTCACTATATTTCATTCTATTCCATTGTTGCAAATGACTCAAATTCCCATAATGCGTCAGTGTTAAAGGCACCACGACCAGTTAGCAGAGTGTGGAGGAGAAAGCAAACCGAGATAGGCGACAAATATGGTTTACATATGTTTTCAAATGAAAGGAAATAATACGTGTCCTTGATAATATTCAATTAACTTTAATGTTGTGGATTATATTGTCAGAGTAGTAATTGCAAGGTGGTAGTTTTATTACAACTAATTTTTACATTTTGAGTTCATTTTACATTTATTGGAGAATATATTCCAATTTAGGTTTATTAATGTCTTTTTTGACATTATGCGCAATTGCACGGGCATTCTGTCTCTGGTTTGGTTTTTGAAAAGCAGGAATTGTCGTAGTGTTCAGGCTGACATGAGTATATCTTATACCCAAAAATATACATTACTTGCAACATAAGGCCCTTTTTCCCTATGGGGCTCATTAAAGTTGTATTTGCGCTAAATTCGCGGCATTATAACTTGAAGTTGTTATTGTGTAGTTGTTGTGACCTTGTCACATCTGACTGAATATTGCAAATTAGGCAGGAAACACTCACGTTTTAATCTGGTTCTCACGCCTTTAAATCCAGGTTGTAAGCGAAAAGTGATGCTGCTGATGCAGGTAGAGGGACTGAGAATAATAAGGGGCGGTACTTTTAACTCTTTTTATACCCTCCCCTTTGTGCCTCTTAACTTCCCAAGGTAAACCTTCACATTTGCCTTTTATCATTGTTTCTTTGATAGAAAAGTGCCTTTTAGGAGCAGCAACACCAGTCTAACCGTACTCTCTACGGGGTAGCTCAGCCTATAGCCTATCTAATCTGATCTTCTGCAATTGACGCCCCGCGCCCTGAAATCGCCGCGCCTGCAGTTCAATGACACCTCAGCCCGGTCAGATTGATGTTACCGACGTTTGTCTTTTGGTGTAATACAACAACCACATTATGTATCCGTAAGTAATGAAGTTGCCCGGTCTGCCAAACGAAGACTATTAGGAAGGATTTGACGAGGAGAAAACGAAAATGACGGTAAGAAATTCTTCCCTAGTCAAATCAAAGTCCAGGACTTATTGCTCAGTAGGCAAAGACTTGAGTCTGCACAAGTTAAAACAGCACGTTTTGACCATGACGTTTTTTTTCCGTTCCCCACGTTGCATCGCCTATAGCAGTGCAGCAGCTGCTAAATTTATAAGCGGCCGCTGTCAGATTTGCCTGATGGTGTGTGTGTGTGTGTGTGTGTGTGTTCCCTCTCTCTCCCCTCTCTCTCTCTCCCTCTCTACAAGATCACCACGGCTCTCGGAGCATCACTAGAGTCCAAATATCCCGTCAGCCGTGCACATCGTCTCTGACTTTCTTTGGGATACGGTGATACCATATCTATCCATCACTGAATCCCCCACGCTGCTTTTTTTAAATCACACACCAGGCGGCTGCTGCTTTTCTTTTTTAAAAAAAATCAAACAACTCGTATTTATTTAAGTACAGGTTTATTATTTAACTTCAGTCGGGTCAATGTATATAGACGCGTTCAAACGGATCCTCTTTGAAAGGCTGAACTGCTTGAAAAGAATGTGTGTGTGTCAGCGCCAGGGCAGGTCAGTATTTTCCCTAAATATGAGAAATCTGAGAATCTGTTGTGTGTAACCTAAGTGTGTGTGTGTGTGTGTGTGTGTGTGTGTGTGTGTGAGAGAGAGAGAGAGAGAGAGAGAGAGAGAACGAGAAAGGGAGTGAGTGAGGGAGTGTGTGTGCATGTAAACTAGTCAGCCAGTGTGTGTAAGAGAGAGTGAAGAGTGTGGGTTTGTCATGATGGTGGCTGATCTTAGGGATAGGAGTGTCATATTGATAGATGAAGTTTACCTTCTTTAACAGCAGGTGTGTGTGTGTGTGTGTGTGTGTGTGTGTGTGTGTTTCTGTGTATGTCTCTGTGTGTTGTGTACATAAACTCATGATTAGATCTGAAAAGTTTGTTGTAAATCCGCAATGATGTTTTCTCCCCCCACTTTTCCAATCTCCTGCTGTATAAATTGTCGTAATGAAATGTTATCACAAGCCCATGTTCAATGCACCTGTGCGCATTTTGCCATATGAAACAGACTGACTTGCAAAATGCACTCTGTATTGACAACCAGGTGTGTGCGTGCACGGATGTGTGTAGGACTGTGCAGGAGTGCCTGGTGGCTGTGTGTGTGTTGTTGTTGCTGTTTGTTTAGGGTGTGTCCCTGCTTGATACAGGGAGCTTGTTTAGAAGTGATGGATGTGTGACCCTGACTTAACAGCGTGCATTGGTGTGGGTTTGGAGAGCAGTCAAGGTTATGCCGTTGTTACTATGAATCATTGATTCGTTGGAAGAGAAGAGGAGACATGTGGTGTTAAGACTGTCCGCACACACGCTCTCATTCTGCTCTGGTCCTCACACTGTTTGTTTTTCCTCAGTCTCATCTATGAGCCCGGCACCTGTTTTGCACTATAACTAAGAAAGGCCTTTGGGTTTTATTCTGCACGTGTCCTTCTTTGAGTCCAACTCCCAGCCCAAAATTAAACCACCAGTAAGTGGAAATGCATGTCAACGAACTAACATGAGTCCACTTTCACTGCTGACAAGGGGAGAGGATGAAGTGAGGTGCATTTCTCCTCTGTTGTAGTAATGCATGTCGTCTGGGAGTTGTTGATTGTCTAATTATGTACCTCCTGTGTCCTTCGGCATCATGCATATTCATGCTGCTGTTTTAAGGTGTGATGAAAACAAAGTATGCATGTGTGTGTGGGCCGTGTTATGTGTGCATGTGTGCAAGGCAGTTTACCCTTGACAGGGCAGGGCTACGCAGGCACATTCTCCCATCTGTGGTCCAAACCTTTGCTCCCAGCCACTGCATTTGGATTCTGCAGTTGTAGCCTGCTCTATTCTTAGTTCTCAACAGTTCATGTGGAGTCTGATATGAATTTTCAACAACAACAACATTCCCATGCTGGGGGCCTATTGCTCACATCCCTGCCTGGTATATACATTGAGATCCAGTTTGGATCGGATAAGCCGCTGTTAAATGGTTAGACTCTGACTTAGGTAGCAAATCAATAACTAATCAATGATAGTGTGTGGAGTCACGATTTACACAGTGCCATATTTGAAATGTCAAGAAGGCAATGAATCCATGTATCCTTGAGTCAGATCTGAGTTGGACAACTGGGATCAATATCAGGTGGTGAGACAGGCAGCGGGAGCAGGCAAGGGTCACCTTCACCCATCCCTACTGAATCAGCAGTATCTCTCATACACTCTTGCTCACACACACACCGACACACACACTTGAAGGCCTGCTTAGGTTACCAAACTGCGACCTCACAAAAATGCTCATTATAGTGAACTGAGCAGCCCCTCCCTTTCCTCATGAATAATGTATGATGTTATTATGATTTCAGCCATTCTTTCAAAAGGTTCCAGCACCCTCCTCTCTGTTGATTCTACTATTTTTATTCCATTTTCCTTTATAGCTGGTACCGGCACTATTTTCTGTATCATCCACTCTTAATGTGCCTAATTTCTCCCTGCCTTTCTCATCTCTCTATCTCTCCCTCCCTCTCTCTCTCTTACCCATCACCATTGTTGAGGAGCTGATCTGCTCTGTTTAATTAAACTGCTCTCCCCTCCCGATGAGAGCTCATCTCTGATCGCAGCGAGGGCTGTGATCTATCCTGGCGAACTGACTAAGAGGACCTGTTGTCACAGTGGTATTCCTCAGAGGAGCGGAGTGTACACAACACAACATTCCCCACTAATGTGCCCCCTGCCTTGACCTTGATCCTGTGACGTTAAAGATACAGTTTCACCAAAGGGAACATCACTGAGCTGGTGTTATCCTATGTGTGTGTGTGTGTGTGTGTCTGTGTGTCTGTGTGTCTGTGTGTCTGTCTGTGTGTGTGTATGGGTGTCACTCCAGTGCTCAACAATGTTGTAATCTTACACTAAGTCCCTTTGGATGCAGGCAACTCAAGAGCAGCTTTAATAAAACCACACAATGGAATAGATTTTGGATTTATTGATGGCGTGCAGAGAATAGTGAATGTGCTTTTCATTCCGTTTTCTTATCAGCTTTTTCATGTATTGAGTTTTATTCAGTGTGTAAGAGAGAGTAATGTGTCCGTGCGTGTCTGTGCCAAGCGTGTATGACAGAGAGAGATATTTTGTGTTTTTCAACCCACAAGCATTTAATCTTTTATTTTTAAATCTGCCACTGTTGTCTGTTTGTGTTGAGCACTCCCGTGCCCTAGATTCGAAAGTGAGTGAGCATCAGGGAGCTTTAGTACACCCCATGTTGCTCGCACAGTTTGGTGTAACAGTTCGGAAGGAGAGGTCAGGGCACACATATCAGATAAGACGGTGGAGTCGGAGCCGGAGCCGGAGCCGGGAGAGGCTCTTGTGCATTTTCCATCTGTCTGCCACTCCACCAGAATATTGGTTCAGTTGAATTTAAGGTCACTGGTTATTTAAGATGCCTTACTTGGCTGACCTCCAACACCACCCGTGGGAGGATGCTGTAAGATTAGGAGCAATGTGCTTCACTACAGGTTAGAGTGAGGAGATGAGCTCAGTGTGTGGGATAGATTCAACAGGAAGGTCTGTTTTCCTCACCTTTGCAACAGTCCGAGATTTTCATGATTTCATGTTTGTTTTCAACATCGTTGGTGGAAATGTTTGAAAGTTTGATGATTTTTAAGCTTAAACAGATCAATGTTGTATAAAGTAGAGCGGAAACATTTAGTCCATGAATCAATTAAATCAAATCAATTAAATCAGTAAGTCATCTGCAACTGTTTTAATAATTGATTAATCATCAATACCAGACATTCCACTGTTGAAGCTTCTCAGCTGTGAGGATTTGCTGCTTTTCTTCGTCTTATGTGACAGTAAATTGAAAATCTT